CTTCGACGATATCAAATCGCACAATCTCAGCGAATAAATGCCATCATTTCGCACACAGACAGAATCGCAGTAATCGACATATTTTCTTACCAATGTCTGAACGTCACTCATGACTAATATTACTTTCACATTTATTCTTATAGTATTCTCTGTTCACGGCGGTAACAATTGCTATCTGCGGACCAATTTAGTTACTTTTTTATAGGGTCCGAACCTAAATGTGAATAAAGCACATTTCTAATTGAAATTTGGATCGAATTTTCTTTTCAGTGTAAATAAATATCGTGAGATACGCATATTCGCTTTTCGAATTTTTTTTTTTTTTTTTTTTGCCAGGTTTTATTTTGACAAGTATAATGGTTAGACGTATTTTGGCGTACTTAGCGATTTGCTCCTATCGAAATAATGGATTAAGCGAAGTGTATAAAATTTTGTGTAAAAAATAAAATGAAGTGCTTTAATCACATTATATTTTGGCTGTGGCATTTGATAAGTTTACCTTGAGCAAAATAAATGTTTATAAGAGATGCAAGTTGTTCACAGAAGACCGAGAAGATGTTAATGAAGATGTCCACCATGGAAGCCACAACACGTCAACTATCGGTGAAAACTTTAAAGTTGTGAAGAAAATTGTTATGAATAATCCTCGAATCACTATTAGAGAAATTGCTAAGGATGTCGGTTCATGCCATCCAATATTTTTTCACGTTTCGAACGTAAAACGTGATGGATATTACATCACGACAGTGCACCAGCTCATATGTCGTCGTTTGTTCATAACTTTTCAGTCAAAAACAACGACACAATCGTGCCTCAGCCACCGTAGTCAGCGTGCTTGGCCCCCTGTGAACTGAAAAGATCCGTGAAAAGTTGGAGTTACGGCATGATCAAGGATCTAAAAGCCGCATGGCGGAAAGAGCTCCCGTCCATGACAAAAAGAGCATATCAGAAGTGGTTCGAGGATTGGAAAAAGCAATGGCACAAGTGTATTAGTTCTAAGATTACTTTGAAGGGGAAAAAATATCACTTTTTTTGTAAGCAGCCCCGGGCTGCATGCAACTTGCTATTATTTGCGGTACACAATACTTACACAGTTTTACAAACATTTACATTTTTAAAAATTGTGAAAAGTATAAACCCACGGTCACGTCTTTCACACTTATTTAACGATTCTATATAATTTTTCATTAAAAGTTCTGTTAAGAAGGATGGACTTCTGATTTAAAAGCAAACAAAGTTCCATCAAAAGACACGTTCTTATAAAATTATTATTAGATCAATTTAAAAAAAAGGAAGACCAAAAAATTTAAGGAGCCACGAGCGAATTGCAACGAGCCATAACGATTGAATTTGGTGCCTCCACATTCGCTCACAGCTATATAAAGCATGCAAAGTTTTTCTTATTATATCGTAGGTGTGCCAATTAGCCGATAGAAACAATTTCTATGTTAATCTTTAGAATGATCTCGGAATTATATTTATACTAACTTTTAAATTAATATATGTTATGAACCATAAGTATGAGTTCTTGACTTATTGCGGGAATTTTTGCGGACGGATCAGGACTATTGTCAAAACTCGTTTATGACCACTAAAGAAAAACGCATAAGTTCCCGGCTTCTTTCGTGATTTTTACATAACGTTACATTACGAACAAGCGAGGATGTGTCGAATGATCGTCTAAAGCTAATCAAAGATATTTCCTTTTATACGAATTCTAAGCTGATATCCTGAGAGTTACGAAATGATGGAGTATTCTAATGTCATTTATAAATTTAAAATGGAAATATATTAATAAATTAGTTGGTTACCTATAATAATATAACCATATATTTAGGCAGAGCATAGAAAAGGAATACCGCTGTAAAACCATATTATGTTCAAATTTTAAAAGGACACATTTTAATGTTTTTGATTTATCTTAAAATCATATTTACATTTTTGAAGAATCAAAGCTAATGTATTTTTTCAAATCATATCGAAGATTCGCAGTAAGTTTAAAGTAACCAAATGCAATGCAAATAAGCTTTAGAATAATTTTACTTGATAAATTCATTGCATTCATTCAATTCATATCCAAATACATTAAGAGTTAGAGTGTAAATACCTGTGGAAAGATCAATTGGCGTTGTTAATAGATATTAAGCCATTAAGTTCAATATTTTTTAGACTGCGGAATCTATGACAAACATTACATGAAAAGTAAATAATTTCATATGTATTTTCTATTAATAATAATACTTTAAAAGACTTTTCAATTTAAACGTATAGCAGAGAGACATGTTACATTTTTTGACAGAATGCATGCGATAACGAAAACACATATAAATAAGAAAAAAAAGAAAAGAAAAGAAAAGAAAATATATATTCATACAGCTGAGAGTAGTATAGTCAGCCGTAACTTATTACACGTAACCAACCACCTTCTTTTACTACGAAATATTTTTATACTTTCATTTTCATTTAAAACTTATCGCATTTATACACACAACGCATTTCTTAGTTTATCAAGACACCCGTCGATGGCATGACTAAGTCATGTATTTGTTTTGTGTTTAATTTGGTTGTTTCTTTCTTTTTTGCTTTTTTCTTTCGTAAAAAGCAGAACAACTAATTTAAATTGACATCAAACTTTATTTTTTGTTGGATTGCATATATAAACAAGCATATGCTTGCAAAGTTGTATGTGTGTATATATGTTAGCATTTTTTATATGCGGGCATATAAGATAAGATCGTAAGGCAAAGGAAAAAATATGTATAAAACAAAAAACAAAATAAAAAGCAATACTAAGCAAAAGTTACGAACACCAAACTGACAAAGCTTAAGTTGTAGCCGTGATTATGGGGTTGATTAGTTAGATTTAAAAAAAAAAACACACACACACACATTTCTACACCCGTAAGCAGGGAAAAGTATATTGACTTTGATATTTCGTTTGTAATATTCTCATTACCTACCGATTTATTTGGTTATTCGCTCAATCAAACGATGCTTAACTTTTCAATCCGAACAAGCATATTTCAAATCACGTGTATTTCAAACTGTACGCTGAAAAACGTAATTGATTCGTTGCAGCTCAAGCATGCATTTTCAACATGCGTGCGTACACCAAAAGAAAAAATAAATAAATAATTACACAGAAAATTATTTAATTGATTAGTTAATTGATGAGTTAGTTCTATTATAAGAACATTTTTCTTATTTTCTTCGGATCTATTACTCCTTTATTTGTTTCTGCCTCGTATTTACCAAGATACCTACTAGTTGTCCTAATATGAAGCCTACTAGTTACCCTAATATGAAAGTTTGCTAGCATGAATCTAACCATACATATCCTTTAGAAGCGGAAGCAAGATCAGCTCGATTTAATGCTTTAAAGACATTTCTTTCTTTCCTAGATAGAATTGTATAAATGCGCAAAAATGTACTTAAAATCAATTTTGCAGTTTTTTTATTTAAATTTAAGTAAAAGGTTAAAAGTTCGTAGTCTTAGAATTTATTATAAGTCAACTTATTTTTACCATCTCTCATCCAGACTTGCTGCAAGAGTCATTTACTGTGTAAGTTTTCTAAAAAGAGACAAAAAGCTAATGCAGGGAAAGAGGGGATATTAAAAGTTTCGACGTAAACCTTTTTTTTTTCTTACTCTCCTCTCTATCTTGTTTGCTTTTCTTTTCTTTTTTGGAAAACGTTAAATTAAAAACAACTTTTACTTTTTCAAGATGACAGCTTACAGAGCGAGCCAAATAGCGTACGCGTGGAAAATGAATCAAATCAGACTCGAACATTTAACATTATGGAGGAAATACTACAAATTGAATTTGAATAACCTCCTAAATAATAAAAGAAACTAAACCATTTGATAATAAAAAAAAGGAATAAAAATAAGTAAAAATTCCATTTATATCTCACACTCGCCGGCGTGTTCACTCGATATCCTTAATGATTTGTAAAGTCTTAAAGACAGCAATTCGTTTACGTGTATATTACTAATAATTTTCGTTATTGTTGTTCAATTCTTCGTTAATTATATAAAATATTATTTTCAATAGGAGTATGCTTTAAATAGGCGGATAATTATCCAATTATTATCACATAAGCGTCATTTAATCTTAGCAAAGTACGTTAATAAGCAATAGAAACCGTTTTCATTCTGCTTAACAACTGAACTCACAGATACATATTTTCAAGTTCATTAAAAAAATAATAATAAAAAAAAAGAAGAAACTTCTTCACTAATATGATTTTTTAAGTTGATGATGATGATGATGATCATCAACGGACCGGTATGTCAGGAAAATCTAGCTACTGAAGAAAAACTTAATGGATTTTATAATAATTGAATGCCGGTTCTTCTTGATTTTATGCATCGTGACATGCAATGCAAAGCGATGACGCTGCATTTTTTACCTCTACATCAGCAGCGTTTATGTGCATACTGCCAATGTACTTATATGTACAGAAATTTGTATGTATATATTTATTTATATGCAATATATATATATATATATGCCATATACATGCAACGAAACAAGTTCACTAACCATTTAACGTTTGCATATAAATACGTTGGCTTTCAAGCATTTTAGCTTTAATAGTAATTTTGTCCTTGACATTGTGTTACCAGATTGTGTTTGCTGATATTAAATACATATATATATATATATATATATATATATATATATATATATACATATATATATACATATGTACATATGTATATTTGTATATGTATTTATATGTATATATATTCGATTATATGTGCACACATATAATTAATTAAAAGAGAAACTATCTTGCATTTATTTTCGCTCATAATTATTGAAATTTAAAAAACAATGTCGATTAATGTAAGTTGGCGGTTTGTTATTGCTCTATTCTTATGTAATCGTTTAAATTCCTTTTCAAAGAAAAAAAACAAAAAAAAAATAATTTATCCCGAAAAAAAAAGAAGTGGAATATCGTCATCAACGTAGAGAAAGTGTAGTGCATTTGTGCACAAACAAATCTATATGCTTGCTAATGTGCGAAAGACAAAAATTACAAAATATTGTAACTTTCACAAAAGTGAAAGTTCAGTAAAATAATTGCAAGAAAATTTGATGTTCATCAGCCTCGCTCACGCACCACAGAAGTGTAAAATGTGAACGTAGAAGATACATTTGAAAAAGAAAACAAAAATAAATAAATAAATAAAAAATGAAATTTTGATTCAAAAACCGGAAAGCGAAGCGATTATTAAAGAATCTTCTTTGTTACATTTTCTTTTTGCGTGTATGTTTTTGTTTACGAACTCTTACACATATTGTAAATAAAACGACCAGAACAACCGATAAACAAGTGAAATGATTTTTAGATCCATTCGATCTGATTGCTGCAATCAGAAACATTGAACTCCAAAACTAATATCTTGTTACGGTTGAGCCGAATGCAGTTCTATCTTTTCATTATCAGGTTACAAATAAAAGAACGGAATTACATTTAGGGAAATCATAATTATAAAGCTTCCGGAACTCAAAGTCTTCAACATCGATGCCGAAATCTTCCGACAAGTTAAATACATATAAAAATAAGGTTTTGACACTTAATAAATAAATATTTTGCTTATCCTAGCAGAAAAGAGAGCAACTTTAAAAATTTTAATGCATTTAATGCTTTTTCAGCCGTACATAGCTAAACATCAATTAAACGCTTTCTCTCCAGTTGCAACATCATACACTGATTTTATTTGCTCTTATTAAGAAAAAAAATCTCTTATCCTTATAAGTATTAACGAATTAAAAATATCATACTTTGGCTGTTATTACACAATTTAACAAATATCGAGGTTCTTGAGGGAGACGAAAATAAGGTATTTATAAATATTTAACGCTAGCGTAACTGCTGGCATGACCATAACCGTGGTGTTGCGAATGATGGCCATCGTGAGCATAAGTATAGACTTCAGGATGAGCGGCATGATCTAATTGCTTAACTACAGCATTGAAACCGTTATGCTTATCAGCAGTATAATCAACGACGCGAGTAGTACCGTCGGCTTCTTTGAGAGTGTATGTACCTATAAACAAATCAAAATAATTGTAAAATCATTTAAATGGTAAAACTTGGTGTCATGGCTAAAATCGTAGTCGATTCTTTTTTTATATTTTACGTAACTAATTATTTTATTATTATTATCAACACATTATCAGTTCAGACCAATGTATAAAAATTGCAAAATCTTTTATCAATTGTAATTTTATCTGTTGGCCTCACTCGAACTCATTCTTGCACATTCATTCATTTCAATATAAAATATATTTTCAAAATTTAAACTTCCTTTTCATTGTTTTTACGCAAACTTCGTTGTGATCAGAAGATATTGCCATCTCTTTCGTAATAATGATTAAAAGTATTATTAGATTGACAAAGATATGATTTTTGCACTTACCCTTAACCTTATCGCCTTCACGTGATTCCCATTGTTTTTTTATATCGCCAGTCTTCAAATCCTTTACGCCATATTCAAATTCATATTTCGGATATGAATGATAGTCATGATCATCATGACGTCCATGATGATAAGGTTGAAATTCGTTGTAATGACCGTGACCCCAGTCATGCTTTTGCATAGGCTGCTCGTGCTTTACTACAGTTGAATAGCTGCTGCCATGACTGCCATGCAAATAACCAGCAGCACCCCAACCAACCAGGACCAACAAGGCTATCATGCTAAG